GTGCGTGCGTGCGTGCGTGCGTGCGTGCGTGCGTGCGCGTGTGTGCGTGTGCACGGGTAAAGTTGCACGTTTTTCTTCTCCTGACAGCATTTTTCCTGAATGATGAAATCCCTGAGAGGATTTAATGTTGGTAACACGACTGAGTATAAAGATGGACGACATGACAGCTCCACAAAAGTGTAACCAAAACATCTACATCGCCCCCTGGTGTCTGGCTGCAGTATAAACCCCATCTCCTTCATGTTAGCAAAGGGGACGTGAACCAAAAATAAAAGTAGACGTAAAATAAATGATGACAAATATATATTTTAATTAGTTGTTTGATGATATGAAGATGGTCTGAGGCGTCATGGTGGACAGCTGAGACAGACTGAGTGTGTGTATGGGTTGAACCTGGATCCCACCGATCAATGATCCCTACAGAGACTCGCAAAACACAACACAGCAGGAGGAAGTGGAGACATGTCGTCCATCCCTATTTACATCAACACACACTCCACAGCTGTTTCACTGCACATCTGTATGAGACTCTGACCTTGTTTTTTTGAAACATGGTTCACAGTCAAACTGATGAATGATGCCGACAAATGTTCGCACACAAACTTGATAAACGTACCTGTTGACTCAAAGACGTCCCTCAGCACAAGCTGAATTAAAACTGACACAACGTTCACCTCCTGACTTCAAAGTGTTTCTGATGAAGCCTCAGAATAAAATAAAAAACGAACTTTTCATTTTTCATTAATAATACGTTTCTCTTTAACCTCAAAATCTGCCGTGGCTGTGCTTACCTGCTCGTGTGTGTGTTTGCCTTCTAAATAATGCATGAGCTTGTCACATCGTCCGGAGCGAAGCCGATGGACAGCTCAGCTGAGGCAGAGAAATGGTTTTAAGTGCTGCTGCCGCCACACACACACGAGCACAGACACAGACACACACACACACACACACACGAGCGCAGACACAGACACACACACACACACACCTCATGTGATTAATTTGACCTAAACCACAAAATAAGCAGACGTACACCTGACCTAAATTAAAATGAGGATGAATGAACACAGTTGTGATGGAGACGTTATATATTATTCTGTAAAAGAAGAAAGAGTGATGTTTGTCCAATAAGCCTCTCACCCATGGCAGCTTCTCTATCCACTCTTAAAAACACAGGTGAAGTATCTGAGGGAAGAATAAACCTGCAGATGTTTGAAATGTTTTGTGTCCAGTCGTCTCTGCTGTGTTTGTGTTTGGACGGAGAAAAAGGAACGTGCTTGTCAATATGACAGATGTGTTCTCTGTGTTGTAGCGCCAGCGGCTAAAAACACGCTGTGAAGGACTCTGTTTCTTCAACATGCCCTTTACTGTGCCTTATTTTGACTGAGGGGAAATCCCCCCACCCCCCCATTCCAAACCACAGAGCAGCAGCAGTTGTACGATCAGTCTGAGCTCCTGTGGTGAGACGACACCGCTAACACACTTCTTAAAGACTTGTCTAAAGCTGCCACACACACACACAGAAGAGTGTGTACCTGTCAGTGTGTGTTTACTGTGTGTAGACAGGTATCTCCACCGGTTAATGTCTGTGTCCGAGTCTCAAAGAGTGTTTTTTTCTTTGTGTGTGTGTGTGTTGTCATCAGCCTGTGTACAATCTGCGTATGTGTGTCAGTTTGCATGTGTCGATCTGTATCTCCCTCTGTCACTGAGTTTGTTGTGTTTGTTGTGGGTGTGTGTGTGTGTGTGTGTGTGTGTGCTCACCCATGCTGTTGGTGGAGCTGCACCACATCAGCAGACAGCCGGTACAGAGCAGGTTGAGTGATCCGAACAGCAGGATCCTCCATGACTGAAAACCACAACAAACAAAAATCACTGTTAGACAACAACAACAAGAACAACACACGGAGCCGAGAGTCTCGACCTTTGGTCCAACACAGGATCCTTAACATGGACGAGCACTTTGTTTTTTAAATCTCTGATTTACCCGCTGAGGAGAGTTTGATGTGTCTGAATAAATCAGACATGAATATAAATCCTCAGATGAGACTCAAGTGAAGCAGCGATAAACTAAAGTCTTGATTGAAAAGAGAAACTGGAGCAAACACTTAATATTTTCTGATTCATGTGGGAAAATACAACATGAACCAACAAACGTTGATGTGGCACATTTGAACTGTCCAATAACAATAACGTAGTCGTGTGTAAACGCAGGTTTGTGTCATTTCTCCAATGAGCTCAATAAATTTATACGTCTACATAGAAAAAGAAAGTTCTCAGACACGACCCCGGTGTTGAACTGTGTCTCTGCTGTCCAGGCACTTCACAGCCTGATGGACATTAACTGTGTAGCTTCAGGACAGTGATAATGATTTCAGACGCACTGAGGACATTATCCAGCAGTCTCCTCCTGCACAGGGTTTCCCTGACAGACAGTGAGCGCCGTGTGACAGCCGCTGATTAATCCAAATCCAAACCTACTAAGTGACGGCGAGCTGCCGGGTGATGCATTAGTGAGTTTCCTGCCCTGCGGTCGACCTGCTCTGCCACAGATTTGGGTGAATTCTCTGACTGGACGAGGCCCCGGCCGTGTGGCCTAACACGTTCACTACAGTCTGAATCAGTTCATCACAGAAACAGCAGCTCAGGGGAAGGTCACATTCAGAGCACGTGAGAGCGGAACAGTGGCTCAGTGCTGTGAAAGAGCAGCTCTGTGCGTCAGAGGAAGTCCAATTATTTATTTTACATCTTCACAGAAAACAAAGAGAGAAATGAACCGTGGAGGAAGACGACAACAAATCTAAAGTACTGAAACTATTCAGGGACTCCACAGCTTGTTACTGCACATTAAACCAGAACAACTGTTGTGACATCCAGATCATCTGTCGAGACATTTATACAAACTACTAACGTCTTGTGAGACATTTTTCAGGACCAACACAAACTTCTGAAACTCCACCAAATAAGAGAACAGCTTCACATGTCATCAGCCTCCTCATCTTCTTTCTTAAAGGACAATCAGCGAGCGGACAGGTGCATGCTGGGTCTGAATCAGATGAATTTGTGAAAGTTTGGATCATCCTCCTCTTCATCCTGAGATATTTGTGTTCTTCCAGTTCACATGTTAGAAACCTCATCAACACGTCCACTCGCTCACTGTGTAAGTTCCAGATTTTTTCACGTGGACTCAGTCTGACATTTTACAGACGTTTTACTCGGAGGCTGCAGGAGAAGATCCAGAGCAACTGACTCCAGAACAGTTCAGGAACATGTTGGGATTTTAATGCAGTTATGACACAACAACAAATACAGTTAGGAAAACACAAACAGGTTGTTTAAGTGTTTTTGCCAAATGAGCAACAAAGACGAGCTCATTTTATTTTGTAGAATCTGGACATGAATTAAACATAATTATAATGAAAGAAAAATAAAACCTTGAGTCGTACGTCAACTTCTAAGGGATGAATATACTGTGTGTGTGTGTGTGTGTCTCAGTAAAGAGGAAAAGAGAAATGGAGCAAGGGAACGAATGTGTGTGTGTGTGTGTGTGTGTGTGTGTGTGTGTCCTGGCCTGTCACTTTGTGTTGGAGTCATATGCCATGGTGGGGAACGCCGAGTGCTGTGAAATCTACAATTACTATGGTGTGCTGTGTTATGACAGCACTTGGGCGTCTGGTGACAGCACTAGCCAGCGACAGGCATGGGAGACCCACAGTGTGTGTGTGTGTGTTCGTGCATGTGTGTGTGTGTGTGTACATGTGGCTGTGTGTGCAAACAGAGAGACAGCACTTGGCCCAAAACATTCCCAACCCCCAGCGCCTGGGGGGCACGCTTGTTGAATCTTGAAGCTTTGCTGCCCCCGTCTGTCCGTCAGCGGCGTCACCGAGCAGTCTGGCGGCAGGACGGCGTGCCAGCTGATGAGGCTACCATGTGACACTGGAGTGACAGAGCTGCAGCAACTGTGCTGTGCCTCAATCGCCAGGTATTAAATAAGGAGCCCCGTTAATGCTTGACCTGATTACATCATTGCCGAGCGCCATGGCAAGCCACTGCATCATCAGGCAGCGCCGGTCAAACGTGTGTCATCACAGAGGCAGAGGGGTGACTCATATTTCATCCAAAGAAGAAGAAGGATAGCCGGAGAGACGACAGTCTGAGCACACTGAGCTGCGAGTGTGGAGGAAATTTGAGAGATTATTTTATAACCCGACTGAAACTGCAGCACGCTGCCCCCCGCTGGGAGGGTCGGTCCCAGTGGCAATGAAATCACAAAAAACGTCCTCTCCTGATCTTTGTCTACTCAGAGTGGAGCCATCAGGGCCATGTGTCTCCAGGGTGGCTGTGTTCTTCTCTCAAAATAAACCCACTTACATAATGAAACGGCGGCGGCAGCAGTGCTGGTGTGTTAACACGAGTTTACACGTTTTCTTACTGATGAGCTCAAGTATCGAAGTCCAGAACTACAGAAATACACTATTGATATCCAAGATTTTCATTGTTACTCTGAAAACATGTTTCTCTGTCAGTTGATCACCTTCAGATCACAGTGACGGACGTGAACCTGGAACAACACAAATATCTCAGGATGAAGAAGAGGAAGACATCAACTTGGAAAGATGAGGAGATTCCAGATGTTTCGGTGATGAGGGCCGACGCCGGTGTGGCATATGACCTTTGATTCAGTGATGGATGTTGCCATCTTTTTGCATTTTTATTTGCAGACACACACAAACTGTGTGATCGGACACACGTGCAAACTCAATATGCAGCGCTGAGGAAGCACATCTCCGCTTTCACTGGTTTGAACTATGTTTGGTCCCTAAGCTGTGTACGACACCGTGTAATCCAATCCAGGGCTCTATGGGGAATCAAGACCCCCTGCTAGTGTGTGGTCAAAGTGGATTAAAGCATAATAACGCTGACACACACGCACGGACACACATGCGCACACACACACAACAATCATGTCTGAGCTTCTTTCACGTTCATTATCATGTCTCCAGTGGTTTCTCTGTGATTTTTACATCCCAGTATGACTCTACATCTGTCCCTGTTTTGTTCTGATGCATTCTACTTTTTTTTTTTATTGTCATCTAATTTTAGAATAAGAGCGATTTAGAAAATCATTCCCGACATTTGAACTAAACATGTTTTTCTGAGTAGAAAATTAGGACAAAGTCAGTTGTTTTCAAAGCAGAGAGATTTGGTATCTGAGGTTATTTACTGTTCGTTTATCAGACGGCTGCAACAACAACATGTATAAAAACCAACCACCTACACACGGAGCAGAAGCACTGATGAGAACGGGTTCGGGGTCATTTTGATTTGGGGACGTTTGGAGCAGAGCTCAACAACAGACAGGACACGAAAACATGTATTCTGACTGAAAATGTGACATCACAGGTGGGAAATAATAATTAGCCTGGCTGCAGTATAGGCCATAAAACCCTCCTCCTCCATGTTAGAAGATGGGACATCGGAGGATACCCAGATCTAAGTACCACATCTTTAAAGCACATTAGTTTGACCCAGATAAAACTCTTCTTTTACTTCTTCATTGATACTGCCAGTGACTAGGAGGCTAATTTTTCAGAGAAGGCATAAAAGAAGGGATTTCCATTATGTAGCATTAGCAAATGCTAGCTACAAGAGGTCATCAGCACAAGATGGCAGCGTTCGAATCAGAGATATGTTTGGCTTCATTTCTGGAGAGTGGGAGGAGGTGGAGACACTTGGTCCTTCTTTATTTAAAACATCCAACGTTTACTTCCTGTAAGCAAAAGATAAGGTTTCCTATTCTGTTTGTTTTTAAACATTAAAAGAAGAAAAAAGGGGAAATTCAACAGGTGAAAATGGATGAAACTGATCCACGATCAGTGCAGAGCCAAATGAAGACGGGACACAGAGATGAAATCTGAGAAGAAGTTCATGATGACAGCTCAATCTGTGAGCAGGTGGACTTCATCCCTGCTGCTCTCACTGGAACACAGTGACCTACTCTGGAAACAGGATTACTGGAGGTGTTTGGGTTTGACTCCGTGTATGAGACATAGAAACTAACCAGATTAGAGCATAATTGGATTATAAAGTGAGGATTTTAGAGGTTCAGATGATACGACGGGTTTGAGCAATTTAGTATCAACAGAACGGAGCCAGAAAATACGTAAAATACAAATAGTAGATCTGATTTCAGAGCAAAAACAAGTGTGAATTGAGGTTTTATGATGCAGTTCATCTCACACACACACACTCACACACACACACTTACCCGTCTATCTGAGGCAACCAGTCTGAATTCTTGCAGGAGTTTCCCAAAAACGGATCTGTGAGTCTTCCTGAATGGATGGATGGTGCCCTGTGAATTAAAACATGTACAAATGAACTGTCCGGACCTCTGAACCTGAATCTTAATGTGATGAGGAAAAGTGTGAAGTGAAATGAAACGACCGTTGTCAGGAGAAAAAATTCAATTAATCAAAGTGGGATCAGATTCATCTCGTCTGTGACAGTGAAGCAGAAGAAGAAACACTTGAGCATCACCACCACCAAGTGGTGAGTTAGTGAATAACACTGACTTCAACTAAAGAGGAAAAAAGTTTCTGAACTCCATTTGAAAGAAGAATTCTGGGTTCAGTGTGTGAACAACAACTTAATAACCTGCAACAAGTTTACAAGAGATGAACTGGTTCTTTTAACTTGTAAAAGTGACTCATTCAGTCATGAAATCAACTTCAAACATGATCAAATGTAAATAAGTAACTGGTCTGACAGTGATGGTCCATCAGCAGAGCTTTTAACAAACAACTAATTGATCCCTTAAATAATGGAATGATGATTTCACCTTAATCAAGTGTGAGAAGCACAAAGAAACAGCTGGTGCAGCTTTCTTTCCCTCCATGTTGAAAGAAAACAGCTCGAGTGTCGTTAAAGTCCGAGAAGAGAAGATCTGCAGGACTGTGACTGTCAGAGCTCAATGTGTTTTCTGAAATAAAGTTTGTGTGCATGTGTGTGCACGGCTACAGTAGTGAGGACATGATGTATCTTGAAATAATAGATATATAGATAAAAGATAATATCAACAACAGTGAAACCCGTCTAACCACCTGTAAGAAAGAGAAGGCTGCAGAGGTGAGACTCACCAAGACGTACGTGTCGTGCTCGTGTTTCTTCCTGTGCACGTTAGCGTCTGTGGAGGAAAACAGACACTTGACATCAAATCTAAATCAGAGAGAAACTAATCTGAAATTAAAATCTGTGTTTTATTTCAGTGGACATTCAGCATTTATTACAACTTTCACACAAACAATAAAAGGTCGAGAAATGAAAGCCAGGTTTTTTTTTTTTTTTTTTTCTCTTTCAAGAACGCGGTCTTTCAGACTCAGTAGTTTTTCCATGATGATCAGATTTTTTAAATCTTTCACTCTAAATTGTGCTCACACTCAAATAGTTCCTGCTTGAGCTCAGAGTTGCTCTGCTTGTGCTCAAATCGTGCACTCAGATTTCCTGCGCTTCAGCTTTTCTCCTCACGCTGCTTCTGAAGATATGAAACTTCTGCTCCGGGATTTTTTCTTTTTCTCTTTGCAACAAGTCTCAACAGAATAGCAGGTGTAGCATCGACCAGTGGGTGCGTTAGCTTTATGTCTGTGAGAGTCCCGTACGGGCGGATGCTTTAAACAGGTTCATTCATTATTACACCGGCTTCCTGTCGAGGACTCGTTCATGGAGCAGGAGTCCAGCAGGTGTCTGGTCAACATGGACAGAACCACACACACTCACAGACACACACACACACACACACACACACACACACACA